GGATAATCCAACAATATTATCTTTAAACGCAATTAATAATTTTATCTGATGTTATGGATCTCTGTGATGCACAAAATACTCAAACATTCTGAGTGGAAATCGAACAAGATTTCCATTTACCTGTAGAATATTTCCAGGACAATTTAGAGAATGATACATATTTTGGTAACCATCTTTTGTATCCCACAAAATGTTGTTCGGATTATATAACTTCAAGATCTAAAATCCTAGCAGATTTGAAGAACTTTCAATAATGCGCTTCTCCTGCCCTGGTATTGATATATGCTTTTTCCAACATACCAAAACAACATGCCGGCTCATTTTTTGTATAAGACTCATTGATTTTATACAGGGTGTCTATTACCTGGAAAAACCGGGAATTTACAGGAAATTTTATTTTCTCGATACGTTTCTTAAGGACACTGAACATGACAAAAATCTGACAGCTAAGGCAACGTGTGCGAACGAGACAAGTTCATTCAGAGAGTCTTGTCACGCTCCCTCTTCGCTGATTTGTAGGTGGAGGATCAAAATCGTCGTAAAAAGGAAACAGCCGAAAAAGGGAGACTGGCAACCGTCAAAAGGAACCATACGAAGCATGTATTGTATAAGAATAAGCATGCCAGACAGCAGGTCTGAGAGCCTACATAGAATTTTTTTGAGCTTCAGAGAGGGTCGGAGATCTACTGAGAAATTTGTTGAGCTTCAGGGTAGTTCGTAGATCTTGAGAACAGAACTACAAACAAATTAAAAGTAATTAACAGAAATTCATAAAAACAAAATCACAAGAGAGGTCGTAGATCTTCAGATAAATGTTCAAAGAAATTTTCAAAACTTCAAGCAAGCAAAAATAATTTCAAATCAATTTGTAAAACTATAAGCGAAATTTTGCAAATCTTCAGGGAAATTCGCATAACTTCAGTTAAGTCCAAGAATCTACAGAGAAATATAAAGTATTTCACAGAAGTTTGGAGATCCTCGAAACATTATTCAACATCAGAAAAGTTCGTAGATCTTAAGAACAAAGCTACAGAACTTTGAAAAAAAAAATACAGGACTTCTGAAAAAGTAACAAGAATCTCAGAAATGTTAATGGCTCTTCAGTAAAAATTTATCGAAATAGTATAGACAGGTTTCTTACTTTTATTTATATTCTTGAATTAAAAAAAATAATACACAAATACCAAAAGAGAATGTAATATTGATTGACGTAATGCATGCTACTGTATGAATAACTAATGTGATTGCAAAAAATCAAATACAATATTACATAAATATAGACATAGATAGAAATATGAACGCGCACCTCTGTTACATATGGATCTCATAAATGTGTCGTATGAAAATGATACGTTATGAGTATGAAATTTACGTTTCATTCGTATGAATTAGAAACGAGAGGAATACGAAAAGCAATCGAATCAACTATGAAATTCATTGTAGCTATTTGTAGTTTTTTTTTCTTGCAAATTAATTATATACCTACTTGTAATCATAAATTCATATTTATTTTATAAACAAAGATAAATTAAACGATGAAGAGTTGCATTTGAGTTTTTGTATTATAAACAACATCACTCTAAAATTAACTTTAACATTTTAAGTGCCGGGACTACAATCTGCCTGGCTATTGACGCCACTGGTTCCAACTTTAACTCTGTTGCATCCCTTATCGCAACAGGATTGCAGTAATCGCGGTATTTTGATATAGCCAGATTCTGTGGACAAATTGATAGTAAATATTTGAAATAATCTTTACATTACCTTCTTACGTTTTGTTCTAGCCGTTATGCAATTCACGTCCAAATCAAATCGCTCTCCTGGATCTACCAGTACGCGATAATGGTTATTATTAAAGCCATAAACTCTATAATTTTAAATATGTAGGTAGGATCCGGAAAATTATTTGGAATTCAGCGTTTTTATATCTCAATACAGCCCAACTTTAACATACGCTAGTAATTTCGGCTCGTACGTCATATTGTTTTGTTTTGAACAGCGTTTCATACGAACTACGTATGATTTTTTTCACACAAGATCAACTCATAAAGTTCATTGCAGCCTCGTATGAAATTTAGACTCATTTCGTATAGGAATCATTTTTGAGTCATGTAATTTTCATACGCATGCTATGAATAACATACGTGTCGTATGAAACTATTTCCAGAGCTCAAAATGCTTGTTCATACGAAATATATTATGAAAATCGTAATTCTAGTTTCCTCAGTGTACCTTTTTTCAGAGGTATTTTAATCTATTTGATTATCAACTATATTAGTTGAATTCACCGTATAGGATCTGTTATTGGTTGTAATATTTTTCCCCATATTAAATATTCAATTTTAAAGAATATTACGAACGAATATTTGAAACTTATGAAACTAGAAAAATTTGAATGGGTTTCTATAGGGTAGGTGTTCTAGTGGAGCTTCAATAGCTGTGGTATGGGACACAGAGCTTAGCTCGAATAATGGTGGATTTTGATATATATTCAATTAATGATTTGATATTTACTAATTTTTCATTGCAGCTGTAATTGCGATAGTATTATGAAAATAGGAGAATCCATAGGTGTCGATACCCTGATAAAGTACTATATTATAAAATAGATATACATGACACTTGGCAGTATTCTTCTTTTTCGTGGTTTTGACGCTTGTACACGAGCTTTTGTTTGCTCTAGACTGTGTTCTTGAAGCACTTCCACAGTTATTAATTGAGGGCTTCGTTGCCAACCAATGCATAAATTTGTGAAATGATACTCTATGCCCAGCGATTTTCAAACTCTAAAGATGTTCTATACCAGCCCGGGAATCAAAACCGCCGCCTCCGGCTTGGTAATACCGTGCCTTTACTGACTAGGCTATTTGAGTTGCCAATATGCAATCTACGAATTACTCCGCCACGCATTTGCTGTGCTGCAAAATATCAATATCAATACCGTAAAACGGGGTATCTTTTATAATGCGGGTAACTTTGATAGTAGAATACAATGATTAAATTTACTCTCTGCGCCTTTTCCGAATTGGAAACATTGGTTCCATATTGTAGATCATGGCATTTCCGTTGAATGGTATATAGTTTTTATATTGTATGTGTTACATATTTTACAAACATATTAAAATTCAATTTTTTTTCTTTATCGCCTGTATGAAAAAGCACTCAAATCATCACTTATGAAATGTATTTGTAATATAGCCATCACAAATTAAATGTTGTATTCTTATTACCGATGATGTTTTCTGATTATATACTCATTCAAAGTTGCATATTTCAAGAACTAAATTATTCGAGTTTCACGCATTTTCTTCTACATTCAACGAGGATTATCAAAGTAACCCCAAATCAAAATACTGATGTTCGGTCACAAGACTAAAAAAATAGTGCAAATGATTTAATTTCCGTCAAGCATATTACTAACGAATTGACTCAAGGATCATCAGTACTTGTTTTAAAAATATAAAATTTGAAATACATTCGTTGCTGTAAAAAAAATATTAAGAATATACTTCAAAAAACCGTCAATGTTACCCCGTTTTACGGTACCTAAAAAATACTGAATTTCACTAGCCACCTGATGTCAGTATCAGTTCACACAGTTAGAATATCAATGTCATTGGCTTCAATGTCAGTACAAACATGAAATTGACATCGTAAAGGGACCACTGATATTCAAAGTTCTGCCGTATTTTTTTCTTTTATACCTCAGCTAATCGAGTGCCGATCTTTAGAAAACTCATCAGTAATATTAAAACAATGTAACGGTTGTACAAAAACGTTGATATATTGTGATTTTCAGCTTTTCCCTAGTGATATTCATATGGACAGTAATGTCAAAGCCTACCGCCTGACAACATGCTTACTGCGAAGCGAAATTCAGTGCTAGACCAATATAGGGGAATTTACGTATTCTCGGCAACCTAAGCAGCGACCTTCTTTCTATAGCCTTTTTCTCTAAGGAACGCACACATATGTAGTATTGGGTTGTTTTCAATCTTTTGCTGCCAGCTGCTCTAACAATTTCAGTCGAAAGAATTGTCAAAAACTGTTTTGAAACGCTTTTACAAAGCTCCAATCTTCTCTAGTGAGAGCGAGTATTGTCGGCAACCAGTTTTTCTTCGGCAACCGTTCCATTTGAACTGCATGTAAATCTGCTGTTCTATTATCGGCAACTCGAAATCAGCTACAATTTTTAGTGCGTGTGTTTCATTTCAAGAAAACCTTGCTAGATTCCTTTTTCTCAGTGGTAAAAATATAGTCAAGTTGAAGCTGAAAGCATAAAGAATCGTTTGCATGCATACAGCGAAGTGTTTTTGTAAGAAAATCCAGTGAAAATAGTGTTTCAATTTGGGTTGCCGAAAATAGTCTGGCATGCCGAAGCCGTCATTTCCCCTATTACGTCAATTGATATTGTTGACACATCACAAAACCACATATCAGTCATTCTAAGCACTTGTTGAAAGATATTGCTGAAACTATAATTTAATCGACTGATTTGAGTGTTAATAGCTAACACAGCTTCTATGTCCAATATACACAACTTATCTTAAATTTCTGATAAAAAATATTACACATTAGTGCTGCATAATTGGTCAAATGGTCTAGAACCGCTCGTAAAATTCGTATGATGAATTGAAACCACAAAAAAAATAATGATATGCACTAGGGGTTTTCCCACATCCAAATTTTTCCGCCTGATTATCATTTGGACACACCGTCCTTGCTATGCTGTTTTGGGGTGGTCGAGCAAGCAGTTTGTTAAGTTATGCTCCGCCGGGCAGGAGGAAACATCAACTGTGTGGGAAGAAGGTGTTGGTAAAATCCCTTGCGCTCTCGCTCTCGCGGCCTATCTCCCTCTCCATCATCCTAAGACGGGATGAGAGAAAGCAGCATAAGCCTGCGATGAGAGTGAGAGCGAGGGTGCTACTCTGCTCTTCTTTGCTGGGATGGTCCGCCGCGAGGCTTATCTCGCACAAAGAACTTAATGCTCGGTTTATTGTGCATTTAGTGTTCGTGCTGTGTAGAGGCATTAAAATCGAATTTTTGTGTTGTTATATGCCAGTACGCTTCTGTTACTTTTTTTTCTGTTGGGTGAAGCGTTCTGCCAGAAAACATTTCCCGCACCCCGCACATCAGTGTAGGCTGATCTGATACGGAGAGTGTGATTCCGGATCGGTGAATACCGGAGTGTCGAAAGGTGTGAGTAGAGTTGGTGGTGTACTCCGTCTCTGTGCTGTTCTAGGTGGAAACATAACAGTGATCTTTAATTGATTCAACGATCTTTTTACCATTGTTGCTTTCGCGTCCGTATTCCGCTGGTGTAATATTGTTTCCTCGGGGGTGCATCGCGTTAGCCCCCGAGGTGTGCAAAGTGAAAAGCAAACGAAAAACCAAATCAAAGAAAACATAGATTATATTCTCTGGAGAGAGATTTTCAATGGTGTACCTTCCTTGTTGAGGCTTCCTCTTTGTGTGACCGTTGCTTTTTTTTTTCTTTTCTTGTTTCACGTTACCATGTGTCGGTTCCAATTTGCTACAACGGATTAAGTCGAAGAGAGAAGCAAAAAATACGAAACCCAAGTGTGATGGTACAGTTTGCGGGAGCCTTAACTGTGTTGAAAAAGCGAAACCTCAAAAAATTGTGTTGAATCTAATTTGTTACAGAACAATTAATTTACTGTGGGTGATAATTTCGGGTTAACATCAACGGACCAATCGTAGTCTCCCCCGAACTGTAGATGTAGAGAATACATGATGCAACTACCATGCAACCGAAGTTGGTTGCATAGCAGTTGCAGAGATTTTCACACAACGTGTCGGTGAGTCGGTTTTAACTGAGACTCCAATCGGTTCGTTTATTTTAACCAGTAACAATTTTCCACGCCAAAAACCCGTGAACGTTAACCAGTTTCGCCTCTCGGTTGAAATATATCATGTTCAAGTGCGCTGAAAAGAACCCTGCTGGAAATTTGAGAACCCCCGTTCGATACGCTTATTGGGCTAATAATCGTTACTCTCAGTAGGACCCTTTTGAGTGGTCGATTATCTCGGTGAGGAAGAAACGAAAATTAGGCAAGACGTACGTGCTTCGGTAGTTCTGGAAAAAAAAATGTGCGAAGTGAAGTGCGCGTGTTGCTGGGTCCTAGAACATCCCAAATCTATGCCCGTTGTCTAGCAGCCCCATTGTTCCGTTTTGGAGCGGGAGAGCGCCAGAAACTGACCGAGAGAGCGAGGAGTGTGTGACGACGCCCAAAACATATCTTTTGGGGCAGCAGCAGTGCCCTGTGCTGTGCATAGTCTTCGTGGGTTCCTCTTTCGCTTCCTTTTTCCTTTTTAGCTCGTAATTGTGAAGAAAGATAGCTCTTCTTGACCCGCTCGTTTTCTTCTTCCTCAAATAGCAGATTTGGCTGTTGGGTAGCATTATACCTGAACCTCCCGAAAGTTTCGCTCGAGTGTATGTGTGTGTATGCAGGAAGACGAAGCATAGAATAAAGAAAACAAGCAATCGACCGCGAAGAATAAGAGTTCAACAATTTTAAAGTGCTCTGAACTACAACGTCAGACAACCCCATTTCGTGTGTGTTCGGTGAAGAGGAGAACCGAAAAAAAGTGGTTTTAAAAAATTTCGAACAAACAGTTTCCCCATCAGGCAGCAGCTGTCAACTGAATTTTTGTGGATATCAAAAATTTATAATTGCAAAGCTCGGACCAGTCGGAGATTTAATCCAAGCGCGGAGCGACACAGAGATACATCAACTGCATCAACTTTTAATTGTAAGTATTTGGTGCGGTTCAATATTCCGCAAATCCCCTCCCTCCAGCCCCAATTCGGAAGGGGGATGGTATGAAATGGTTATCTTGACACTTGATGGGAGGATAATCGGGATTTCATGTTGCATTGGGATGTGATGTGAAACTGAAAAGGGAAAAACAAGCCGACATCGTACACGCTCTGCCCGGTGGGCATGTTTGGGGTGCGATTGTACACATGTCCACCCCACACACATTCTGGTGCAGATTTTGATTGATAATGGTGCTCGGTGGGTTATTTGGTTGATTTTTTCGTGTACGGTCAAGTGGGATTTAGTTGGCATTTTATTCTCATCGATGATTGGATTGTAGCAGTACATTTTAACGACCGACCAGTTTCAAGCACAGAGTCCGTCAATGAAGTTAAACTGAAAATCTGTGGACATGGGAATAGCGGTGACTTTATTCTTATACATGTTTGGGGTGTGTCATTGTGGACAGGGTGCCTTCCATTCATTTTTGCTAAAAAAATGTTTTATGAAATTATGGAATAATAAGATAATATAATAATATTTTGTTTCTGTAAGGAACAAGAAGAGATTGTGGAGTTTGTGTTTGACACATAATACCAGCCAATCTTGCTGCACGAGAGTCGTAATAAACGATTTTGTCATTTATCTCACCCACTCTTCGCTCTTCACTCTTCGCGAAGAGGCGATCAGAAAATCGTTCATTGTGGCTCTGTCAAAGCTAAACTTACAGGTTTTATGTGTCAAACACAAGCTTTAAAATCTTTTCTTGTTCCTTACACATGCAAAATACCATCATAATATCTTATTATTCCATAATTTCCTAAAACATTTTTTTAGTCAAAAGGAAGGCACCCTGATTGTGGACATCAAGTATCAAAAACTACGAATTTAACTTTAAGCTCATTTTAAATTTGAAAATGAGGTCTCCCTTAGACTATATGGCTGACCCAAATTTTAGTTCCGGTATAGCTAAAATCACGGTTACTTATAGGCTGAGTAAAACTTTGCTCGAATTAGATTAACTGTCAATCAAATTCTAGCAAAGTTTGTTAGAAAATGAGGGACATTTAATCAAGTTCTATCAGATGTTTTATTCAGTAATTAAAGGTGTGGCTACAAGAACATGCAGAGTTGAGGGCAGGCCTTAAGTTCCAGTTGGAACGTTACAACCAAAGATCAAGAAGTAGAAATATGCAAAGATGCTAACGGACGAGATGCTGATGCAAATGCAAAGATGCTAACGGACGAGATTGGTTAAGCTTCAGAGTTGTTAGCCAACTGTCGTTTTAAAGTCGAATTTAGTTTCAAATTGATGGAATAAAAACTCAACAAAATAGACGTACAAGCTAACTTGAAAATACCCATTAATGGGTAAAAAAGAGCATTAGTACAAAACACTGAATAAGTCGCACATTGTAGACGAAATACGCGTATCTGTCAAGGATAAGCAAATAAGGTAGTGAAATTGAATGGAAATTACTAATACTTCTCTCTCCCTCTCTGATTATTTAAACAGTTGTTGTTTCTCCATAATTACCATGGAAGTTTTCTTGGTATAATCATGGGATTTTTAGAACCTTGGAATTATTTTCGGATTTCTCTTGAAACTCCCCCGGGATCCTCCATAGAAATCCGTTTGTACTATCCTGACAATGCGATTCCTTTAAAAATATTCTCAAAAATTGAATACAAACTTTAAGACTTAGACTAAGTACTAAGAAATCCTAATATTTGAAGACTATAGTTGAAGACTTTCCTCAGAAATTTTTCAGAATCTATTTATAAATCTCTTTAAATTCTTGTCCAAATTCTGTTGGAATCAGGGTTACTTCCACTCACTTGCTATAAAAAATTGTTTTTCCGAATTATGAAAACACTAGATGTTACAATGATAATTAGTACTTGTAAGTTCCAAGAAGAGGTCGTGAAGTATGTGTTTGACACATAAAACCTGTCAATATTGCTTTCAGTGCGTCACAATCAGCGATTTAACGATTCGTGGCCGCTCACTCTGAGTGAACGCTCGTGAATCATAAGATCGCTGATTGTGACGCTCTGGAAGCGAAATTGACAGGTTTTATGAGTCAAACACATACTTTACACCCTCTTCTTGTTACTTACAAGAACAACATATTATTACATCATCTAATGATTTCATAATTCCGAAAGGCATTGAAGAGTGAGTTTAAGCAACCCTGGTTGGAATTATTCTTAAAATTCACAATCTTTTCGCCTCACTATCCCGATACAATTTCACTGTCACGTAGAGGCTCTCTATGAGCTTTTTTACACAACCTTTATAAAATTTTACTAAGAATTTCTTAGGAATTCATTTCGTTTTCCCAGGAATTCTTTGAAATTCAACTCAGAATTCCTTAGGACATTCTCTGAATTATCTTAGAATGCTGGCCAACTTTCTCTCAGGATATTCACCAGAATTTGGTAATTATTCTTCTCAGCATTTCTCTTGAATTAACACTTTTATTCCATTTAAATTCTCCTTGCAAATTCCATACGTATTCTCCTTAGAATTCTAAATAATTTCTTTCTAAATTGCTCGATGTCTGAACATTCTTCCAAGGTGCAGAGCGTTGATAATTTCCCAGACAAATATTATGTTTTTTTTTTTTTTAATCTAGGTTCTGTAAATTAAAAACATATATATTTCGAATATTTTGTCAATCCATATTTTAAATAAAACCATGTTTTTTCTAACTCTAACTCTAACTTCTATGATCTTGAAGCCTAGGTTAACCAATGTGAGAAATAAAAATGTCGAAAGCACAGAGTTTTGGGAATTTATTTTAACAAATTACTTTTATTACTAATGCTACAAATGCAATATAATACTGATTTAAGATTAGTATAACAATTTTAAACCGTACTTCAGCCATATATTACGAAAAGGGCCCTTATCGGACTATTAACGGGCTTGGTTTTTACTTGGGTAGACTACAGAATGTTCAAACTAGCAATTTGTCTTATAATTAACCAAGAATTCGCCTTAAAGTCCTTTCTACAAATCCCTTAGGATTCTGAATTTAAAAGGACTTATTTTCAGAATAATTTTTGGATTTTGATTTTAATCAAAACTCCGTTGAATTGTTTTGCAAGATTTTCTCTGAATTTGTTAGAAATAATTCTGCATTTTTAGAACCCTTAACATTTTGCAAAGCTTTCAAGCTTATATTCCAGGGACCATCGTATTTTGTTTTCAAATCTGAGATCTTGAAAACTTTTTGAAATCTCACATTTCAAGTAACAAATCTCGAAAAAAAAATGTATTATAAAACTATGTCAATGGCTGAGAATCAAATATATTTTCTTACATTATTTTTTAAGACTTCTGTTAGTACACATCACGATGTGTTGAAACCTTTCCTTGCTTCGAAATCTTTGTATCAAGTTGACGATTTTTAAATCTATGTGTCAGGTTCAATTTTTTGGATGCATTTTCGATAAATTCAGAAGCAGTTTTTTTAAGCATCGTTTCAGATTGTGACAAGCTCGCGCAGCTTAATTTATGTTTATTTTAAACAAAATGACACGAGCTTTTTGCAATCTGAAATGATACGTCGATAAACATTGCTTTTGTATTTTCCGAAAATCCATCACTCTAAAATTCAGTATAATGACCTATTCAGCCTGATAGCGTTCGACTAACTGACCTTTCACGACTCTGTTTCTTTGTAAATTTTGGCGCTTCAAAATCATAAAAGTACTCATGAAAGCGATTCAAATTGAACTAAGTATCCAGAAAATAACGAGATATTGCAATCATTTCAATACTTTCATTTTTTGCTAAATATCAAAAACCGGGATTTTTTTTAGGTTTGAACCGGGAAAACACCGGGAAATTCAAAATGAAAATTCACTGGTCACCCTACATTTATAAATAAATTTATATATTGACAAGGAATCTGCAATGACCCAAAACCAAGGTTTTCGTCACATGTTCCACAATTCGGCAACGAAGAAGTGCGAATTTTACCTTGTTGAAGCATAGGTTATGTTTTTGTCCAATCTAGTCAGCAGTCTCTGCTGAACGCTGATTGCTTTTTACTACATTCGCTTCGTTGTCGTGGACTATATCTTTTTATTTTCCATGCTCTCTCGCGTAACACGAGCAGTAGAACAATATTCGCGTAAAAGGAAAACTATCAAATTCATATCGACAGCATCATTCTGTTGTAATTCTTCTATTTTGTGTATGTTTCTACTTCTGATCACCAATGTTTCCTCTCGCTTATCGTTGCATATTATATTGATAATTATCAAAAGCACAACATGAGCAGCTTTCATGACGAAAAAAAAAACCACGTGAAAGCGTAACATTCTTCGGCGTTACGGTCGTATGAGAGTCATGTCATATGACATTTTAGTTTGGCAGTGTATTTTGATAACTTGTGTTGCGAGAGTTAGAAGGAAAGGTAACGGATTAATAAATACGTCGATTACTGGATCGCTTACACACTGCTCTGAACCAATGCTAGATTGATATCCATAGGGGAAAGTCGTTAAAGGCGGACACAGCAGAAAAGATGGATACTTGCTGCTTCAAATCTAAAACATGTTTTTAGAATCATTTTAGCACTGCATACTTTTAACATGCAATCTCGTCATCTAGTTTATAATAAAAAAAAACTGTAGGTCTAAATTTATTCTATAAAAAAAATTGCAGCAAGTGTCCATCTTTCCTGCTGTGTCCATCGTTACCGACTTTCCCCTATAGTTTACATAAGAAGGTCGATTTTTCCCCAACTCTTGAATCCTTAACTGACTAGGCTGTCTAAGACCAATTAAATTATTTAAATTATATATTATGTTAAAAAGCTTCTAACAGTATCTGGTAGAGCAAGGCAACGTAATACAGTCCAATTGATCGTTCCCGTGAGAAAGCCATCCACGGACCAGCTATTAATCAGTTTCTTAATATTCAAACTCTACCTGCTTTTCCATTTACGAATTCTAATCGCTCAATTTACTCCGTTC